TGAAAAAGTGCTTCACAGTTTTAACACGCTTTGAGGCTTCCCGATCGTAAACGGCGCTGAATTAAAAGCAAGCCTTTGTTTACCCGTGACTAACATTGCAAATAATTGACAAAACAGATCAGAGAAGCTCATCAACAGTTTCATTGCAATCTCCCAAGGTTGTAAACAGAACACATACCGCGGCAAGATCTGAAACTGTAGATCGATTCATTATCGGGACTCACAGTCTAGCCCCACTGGAAACTGTATGTAGTGAAATTCAAAGTGCTTCATTCTCCAGGTTTCTGTTTAGCTATAGATTGACAGTGTGTCAAACTTGTCCATATGAGCCTGTTGCGTTTGATCTTCCAGAACAACGATAAGTTTTGCCTCAAATTTCGAAGTTTTGATCCCAGTGTCAGATAATTTCCTGATCGGTCTTGCAGTACTTAGAGAGTATTTGTTGGATATCTGTTAAAAGACTCCAGGACTCAACGTGTTTGAATAATATTGCTCTGAATGTGATTTCTCGGGCGATTTATAGTCTTTCATACCTGTATATTTTACACGGTTAATTAAGTCTCCCATTCTAAGGTTCCTTGTTTAAGATTCACCATTTGAAGTTCTGTTAGCGTCCCATTACCATCATCTTAATTTCCTGATTAGACGCAAGATTAGCACTTTTGTTAAGCAAAGGTATTAATAGATAGGGGCCAAAGGTGTTCAACCACAGATCAGCCATGATCCCCCTGAACGGCTGAACAGACTAGAGGGATTGAATGGGCGACTTCTGTTCCTATATTCTCAGCTGATTCCCAAGTCACACGATCTAAAGTTGAGGATTAGCATCAGGTCACGTTTGGTCTCGGCCCGAAATGTCAGCCTTCCTGCTCCTCTGATGCTGCTTGGCCTGCTGTGTTCATCCAGGTCTACACTTTGTTATCTCGGATTTTCCAGCATCTGCAGTTCCTACTATCTCTGATACATGTTTGTGACTACTGCATTGACAAGGAAAACCTAACTTGATGGACAAGTGAGGAAGGGTCACTGGACCGGAAATGTTACCTCTGATTTCTCTCCACAGATGCTGCCAGACCTGCTGAGCTTTTCCAGCAATTTCTGTTTTTGTTTCTGATTTCCAGCATCCGCAGTTCTTTTTGTTTTTGTTTGATGGATAGAAATTCTAGTATGTGCTTTGCGTGGATTATAAATTGCAGTGGATATTACTCAAACGCAGTTTGGCGGTACATAAACTGGAACATATTTCACAAATATTCCAGTACAGTAATGCTGGCTGCAACGCTACTTTCACTTGTTCCTAAAATATGAATGTTAGTTTAATTTGAGTGTCTGTCTCTGACATGAATGAAATAAGCTTCCAGATAGAATATTCACTTATCAGAAATTAATACAATATATGTGTAAAACAGAAAGAGGCAAGATTTTGACTGATGTCTGCAATATTCCTGCCAATGTAGGTTAGACCTTCAGTGATTATAACCCCTAGTTGCAGCACATTAGACACTAAACTGTAAACAAATCAATTTGATATAAGAATAATAAAATATTTTTTGTGTACCATAGGGAGCATCTGATTCCACTGCAATTCCTTCTGCAAATTGTACAGTCTTTTGTAGAATGTAGAGGAGGGCTCTCATAGAAACCTATAAAATTCTGACAGGATAAAAACTGAAAGAACTGCAGATGCTGTAAATCAGAAACAAAAACAAAGTTGCTGGAAAAGCTCAGCAGGTCTGGCAGCATGTATGAAGGAAAAAACGGAGTTAACATTTCGGGTCAGGTGAAGTTCTGAGGAAGGGTCAACAGACCCAAAACATTAACTCTGTTTTTTCCTTCACAGATGCTGCCAGACCTGCTGAGCTTTTCCAGCAACTTTGTTTTTGTTCCAAAATTCTGTCAGGATTATGCAGGATAACCACACGAAGGATGTTCCCAGTAATGGGGGAGTCCAGAACCAGTGGTCACAGTTTAAGGATACAAGGTAGACCATTTAGGATTGAGACGAAGAAAAATTTCTTCATCCACGGAGTGGTGAGCCTGTGGAATTCTCTGTCCCAAACAGCAGCTGAGGCTAAAACATTGAATGTTTTCGAAAAGGAGTTAGATATACTTCTTAAGTCAATCAAAGGGTATGGGGTGAAAGCAGGAACAGGGACTGAGTTGGATGATCAGCCATGATCATATTGAATGGCGGAGCAGGTTTGAGAGGCTGACTGGCTTACTCCTGCTTTTATTTTCTACGTTCTTCTGCTTCAATAAATTTAATTCCTTACTGATAAAATTTTTTTTTCAGGGGAAGTTTTCAGTGAATTTTGGAAATTATGAACTAAAATCATTGTCTTCTTTTGATGATCCTTCACAAATTCTGTAAAAACAATGAGCTAGATTTATCACAGTATGGAGCTGGAGGAACACAGCAGGGCAGGCAGAATCTGAGGAGCAGGAAAGTTGATGTTTCAGGTCGGGACCCTTCTTCAGAAATTTCCGAAACGTCAACTTTCCTGCTCCTCTGATGGTGCCTGGCCTGCTGTGTTCCTGCAGCTCCATACTGTGTTGTCTCTGACTCCAGCAGCTGCAGTACTTGCTATCTCTGAGCTAGGTTTATGATGGTTTTAACAACACAATGCAATGTAATGGATTCTGAAATCAGTTGCTAATGTTTCACTAATGTTGAATTTACAATTCCATTTTAACAAGAATGAGTCAAACATCTTTCTAATTCCTTGGACTAGTATGTATTGATCAAATGACCTGCTTCCACATTGTAGAGATTCTATAAAGAGATCATTTGTCCCATTGAGTCCGTACTGGCTCTTTCCAAGAGCATTCCAGTAAGTTGCTTCCTCGCTCATTCCCCCAAATGCCTTCAATCCAGTTTGTCTGTTCTATGCAAATAATTGCCATCCCTCATTGCTGGAACTATTCCAGGAAATTTCATCTGTATCCTTTTCAAAGCCTTCATATCCCTTCTCGAATTGGACTCAAATAGCGTAACTACACTATCGATAAAGCCTGTAGTCCCATTTATTTTATTAACTTGTATTAATCCATCCAACCAGTTCAGAGATGTTATGACATGTCTGTGGTCTTCTGGTTCAGAGATAGGAACCTACCACTGCACCATTAGAACCCCTATCTACCACATTCAAGTTTAATGCTTACTGATAATTAAGTACATACAACACAAGTCCTGTGACACAATTTGCCACATGGAATAGATAGATATTTTCTAATCAACCTGTTCAGAGATGTTATTGCTCACCTCTGGAGCAGCTGGGACTTGAATCTGGGCCTTCCAATCCAGGAGCAGGGACACTACCACTGCACCACAAGAGGGCCCCGCCTACCATATTCAAAGATTTGTACACAAACACCTTTCAGGTGCTTCCTGTTGAACAATTTTAAAGTTATGCCACTTTTTCATTCTGCCTACAAAAATGTATCACCTCACAATTCTCTGCATTTATTTTCATCTGTCATGTGTCCACCTATTTCACTATCCCATCTCTATCCTTGAGAAGTCCATTTCTACCTTCCTCATTGTTTACGTTTTGGTGTAGTCTGCAAATCTCAAAAATTCACGCTGTACCCCTGGATCAAGATCATAAATGAACGTCAGAAATGACAGTAGGCCTAGTACTGGCCTTTGTGGAATTAATGTTCCATTTAATTTTGAGTGACATACATTTAAAAGAAACTCAGGTACTGATTAACACTTGGTGGCTCACATATTTGCCATGTATCTGGACTAAATAATGATCACCTCTCAGTCTGCTGCTAGATGGGGCACTGTATTGTGAATGAGGTGGTGCAGATATTTCATAATTAACTTGTTCAGAGATGTTACTAGACACCTCTGGAGTAAGTAGGACTTGAATCTAGGCCTCCTAGTTCAGTGGTAGGGATATTACCAACATACCACAGCCTATAACTAAGGTGCTGTGTCATGCACCAATTAATGAATGTCATGGACCTTCTAATCAATAACCAATTAGTGTATTTTTAGATCTGTTTTTGGAAACCTTGGCTGCCAAATTATACCTACAGTTTAGTCATTAAGACAGGTCAGAGCAAAACTAATTGTGAAGATGTGACATATCATATACACATATACATGTACATATTTACAATATACACTTTATATATCAAGTTCTTCCAAACTAATTCCTGTATGGGTAAAGGTTTGACTTATTCTCTCGGAGTCACCATTCTCGGTCAATGGCTGTCTACTCCCATGGTTAACATTGAAGACTTGTCTTTTTGGACACATAATAAATGGTTAACTCCCAATAGTGTTCTGAGGCCATGGGTTTGCCATCAACAAAACTTTTCACTGTACTTAGGTACACATGACTAAAATAAATCAAGTCAAATCAAAAACACAAGTCGAGTTTTCTTCCCCTCGATGCACTTTTCAACTATTGTAAGTGCTTGTGTTTGGAGTATTTTTTTCACCCAAACTCAATGTTTTACAATCTGCAAAAATTAACAGGTTTGTCATTCCCGTTCAAAATGTCATGGCGAATAATAAAGATTGTCATTGCTTTGAGCCTTTGTCTCAATTCATTATATACTTTAACATTGTCCGTGACAATTGGCTACTATTCCAGCTTCCTGTTAAAGTGTGAACAATGCGGATCACAGATGGTTGTGCATGAGATTGTGCAGTACTTCATGGGGTTCTTGTGACACCATGATAATGTCCCACCTCTGAGCCAGAAGGCCCAGATTTAGCATCCACCTGCTTCAGATCTGTATCACAATATCTCTGAACAGGTTGGTTAGAAAATAACTAGATGTTCTTCATTCTGGGCTAAAATATAGGCAGTTCAATCTGCCTGGCATCCTTATATTCCTGCAGCACAGGAAAACTTATGGGTGATTACTTTGTCACAGAGTAAAAACGAGCCTGATCAATACCAGTGATCTTTCTGTCTCTTTATTGTGTAAAAATAAAATTGACAGTACATGTCACATTTGCATTAAATGAAAAAGCATTCATGACATAAAAACATAGCGCTTTTTAAAGAAATGGTTGTCTAATGTAGTGTCTAATCATTATATTATCCAGAAATGAGATTTACTGATGGTATGGGGATCTTGATTCAGAATATTTACAACTTTGGTTTGAATGTGAAAGTGTATGGTACATATAACTTCCGCATATTGTACAATATTTACATCTATAAATATTTTACTTGCCAGTGTCTGGCCAAAAACAATAGTTTATACCTTCTAAATAATTTGGGGGAAAATCCTCATTCAGGCATCAAATTTAATAAAAATGTTAGTACGTTTGCAAAATTTCCTTTTTTAGAAAAAATAATCCTTTTTCACTAGAGGGCGCAACGTTACAATTATTTTTCTCTCAATCAGTCTCCAGTTGGATTAACTGTCGATCAGAACAGATTTACAAAATAAACACAGATAAATCGCCATGCCGTAAGCCTGTGATGTGATAAAATGGACCTTTTAAAAAAGCACCCGCGTTATTCTACACCTTCAGTTTACCAGTATGTGTTCAGCATTTTTGTAGCCGTACCTTCGTCAGTACGTGTGTAATTTGCAATAGAGCGCACATAGTCATAGCAATATTATTTTAACAAGACATGTTCCCACGACACAATTATCTCAAATAGTGTGTTTATTCTTTTTTTAAGAATATGCAAACGGAAAGGATAAAAGACTACTTGTTGCATTTTGCACCTGCCAAAGGCACTCAGGCTAATTGGCATCAAGTAAACACGCCATCAGACACTTAAAGCATATGGCTTTCCCAGGACTGTTGGCTGTCAGTGAAGGTCGGGAGGAGAGCCCTTTGATGCTCCCTCGTTAATACGCCTGAGAAGCATGATCCAGTTGTCATGACAAGAAATTGTAAATACTTTTTACGAACTTAAGTAACTTTTTTTTTGCAGAAGATTCTTGTAAGTTTTATTCCTGAAAAAAGAAATTTGATTTTGGAGCCGTAGAAGATAGTCCCACTGGAGGATTAATTAATCTGGCGGCACGCTTCAAATGTCCACTTGGTGGCGCCACCGTAGATGTCAACATTGGCTTCAGTCCATGCAATGACATTCCCCACCAAAGTCTTGGAGCTGCAGTTAGCCAGGCTGTAGACCTCTCCTGGAGTTAGGACCCTATCCCACATGTGAAAGTGGGACATCTCACCCACAAAGGCCTGTGTGGCATCAAACCCACCGCCTAACGTATCCTAATTCAGAAGGAGATAAAATAACCATGTCAATAACTAGAAGGTTATCTCCGCATGTTTTTGTGCGTGTGTATACTTTACTTTCTCTATTCCTTGCAAGAAGCAAGTTGCTGACCCAGACCAGGCTAAAACCAGATAGAGGGTAGTGCTCGCATCCCCAGGTGACAGGTTTTATTCACCTCTCTACCGACCCAAGCACCTTTGCCCCCCACCCATTCCCCGTCCCCAAACCACCTCTCTCTGCAGTTTGATGTGTGTCCGACTCAAATTTCTGCAGAGATAGTAGGAACTGCAGATGCTGGAGAATCTGAGATAACAAGGTGTAGAGCTGGATGAACACAGAAAGGTCTAGGCCCGAAACGTCGGCTTTCCTGCTCCTCTGATGCTGCTTGGCCTGCTGTGTTCATCCAGCTCTACACCTTGTTAGCTCAAATTTCTGCAGGCGTCTTGCATCGACCCAAGTGGTTCGTAGGTGTGATTCAGGCAATCACGCCTATGGACACTTGGGGCGCTGTAAGTCGCTTGCGAGAGGCTCCGGCCTTCGCGAGTTGAATTCATTGCTGTCGAATTAAACCACTACTGTTCCTGTTCACCTTGCCCACAGACATGGACGCGTGTTTGCCACTGTAGCTAATTTATTGGCGAGTCTCCTGTTTATTGGGATGGTGCTAACCGCCCTGTGCCGTTGGGTTTACCTTCAACTTGAATGGTTCCTTGGAATGATGTGATAATTTTCATCAAGCGGCGGTGATAATGCAGCAACCCAGCTGGATGATCGCTCAGTTTTAACCGTTTTGATTCAATATCTTATTGCATTTATAACGCTCTTTTTTTAATACTGTTATTTTACAAGTGGGACAACTACCTGTTCTTGGCCCAAAACCATGATTCCACCTGGTTTAATGGGATGCCACGGTGCTAGGTTTTCTCCATTCGCCCTTTTCAGTCCGTCCTGGTAGGCTTCCCAAACGCCGTCTCTTGTAGACCACGTGACACAGATGTGATGCCATTTCCCATCATTAATAACGAAAGGAAGTTTGGCCACCTGCAAGAAAAGGGCGGATTTTAAAGTTGTTGGCACTCCCATGTTTGCTGACAGTTTCCTGTAATTGGAAATCGCCCCAAAAACTGATTAGGGTGGAGTATGATTGACCTTATTCCCCTGTCCCTTCACATAGAAGGTGCATTACAACAGTGAATATTTACAATTAATTGAATCAAGATTCATTAGGAGAGCCTTTATTTCCAGTAAGTCTTAGAATAAGAGGTCTCTGATAACGTCCCAATTAAGAACGTGTTTCAAATTAACATTATTACAATGTAAGATGACCAGATCTGCGTACATCTGGTCATCTTAATTTGTAATAATGTTAATTTGAAACATGTTCTTAGACGGGACGTTCAGAGACCTCTTACTGTAAGACTTACTGGAATTTACTGTTAATATTTCTATTGTAATGATAAACAAAAATTGCTGGAAAAACTCAGTTCTGAAGAAGGGTCACGGGACCTGAAAGGTTGACTCTGCCTTCTTTCTAGGGATGTGGCTAGACCTGCTGAATTCTTCCAGCAATTCCTGATTTTGTTTCTGATTTCCAGCATCTTTTTGGATGCTATTAGCGCTTCGGCCGACTATTTTGAGCATCTCTCTGAGACAGGATGGCCATAGGTTGATACAAACCATCCAAGATTCCTTGCAGTGGCAGAACAGACACGAGGCCGAATGGCCGACCCCTGTCCCTCCGATTTATTGACGAAGAATTAAACCCCTCAACCAACAGAAATCACTTATCTTAACTCAAGAGGAGTTTGCAGGTAGCTTCTATTCCTGCTCCATTTCCCATAAGGTTACTTTTGCATTTCTCCTCATGGATGTTGAGGTCATAACTCACCTTGTCATTAATAAGAATCTCCATCGGATTATTCCCCCACTCGATGAGAACCAGCTCGTTAGATTGTCCCGGGACAGCGTAGGAGAACGGGGTACCTACTCCGGGTGAAGCATTGGACTTAAGCCACATACAGACAGTCATGGCGTACATTTCAGGCAAACTTTTCTTCACCTTGGCGTACATGTAGTTGGTCCTCAAAGGAAATGTGATCTGGAATTTATCTGTCGGTCTTGAATTTCTCTGTCCTGTAGAAGGTCAAGAGAACGAGAGAGAGAGACAGAGAGAGATTGACTGCAATGTGCACGGGTTAGATGGGGCTGCCTTGATGGGAATGAGCTGGAACGGACCATGTTGTGAAAATCGAGCTATCAGAAGCTGTGCTGTGTGCTTCTAGTGCACTGTTCAGATGCTGAATCACATCAATTCTTATATAACTGCCACTCCAGATTAATCCCCATCAATGCATCCCGCAGTATAATCCCGGTCATGTGAGCGGCGTCCTGGGACATTTTTGATTCCATTCCATTGGAGACCGCTGCGCAATCCATAATGCAGCAGCACAGAGAGAGAGAAGGCGGTCTCTGCTCTCGGCCATCCGGATGAAGTTTTACGAACCAGCTTGCTTACTGTGCCAGAATACTGCCGTAATGCGCCTGTGGTTCAGTCAAGACCCAGCACTGAAAGGCTGCTGCGCGGCTTCCGCCATCGCATTCTTCCCCACGGAACCGGCTGCAGTCATCCGGCTAAATATAGTGGCTATTTGCAGCACGGGGGGGGGGGGGGTGGTGGTGGATAGTTTAGGAGGAAGGGGGCAGCTAATTGCCAATTTTTTTGTACAGCCATTACCCATGGGTTACATTTTACCAAGCTTTAATCTTCATCGAATTGGACCGTATTCTAACTGACTTGCGGGAATGTATGGATATTTAATATTAATTCCCGGGGTTAGGATATCACTCATTGGGTACAATACATTGCTATGTTTCCACTTCCCCTATATGTTCAACTGCCTCTCAGCCGTGTCCTCTAACCAACCACCCGGATTTTCCATTCATTTCCCCAACCCAGCCTAAAACACGTAAAATCTGATAGTCCCATGGGTTCTGCTACTTCTAAAATATCATACAATTCAAACTTAGTTTCATTGCTCTGTACAAGGGGTAACTTCGTTCGTTGTAACTAGGGACGGAGTAGTATTTGAGCTCAGCGTTTTCTAAAGAGCAACTCACCTTTCTCCAAATCACTGATCCTCTGATGGAGAGAATTCAGAGCATTCTCAATCTTGCCCCTGTTTTCCGTCGTGTCGTTTCGCACCGCGTTTTTGGTCTCCTCCAAGCTGTTGACTCTGGACAGAACTTGTTTCTCTAGATGGTCTATTTTGTTCTGCAGAAGATCTTTCAAGCTATTTGTCTGAACGGAAACATTGGCTCGGTTGTATTGCTGTTGCCGTTACCGAGAGCACACCAACAAAACAGAAACAGAGGCACACACAAAGGTGTAAGAAGCTGGTCAGGAAGAAGAGAACCCGAACGCGAACACACTGTAGGGTGAGTATTGCACTGACCCTCGCTGAACAACATGGGCAAGACAGGCCGAATGTCAGCGCCTACTATGTCCTACTTCTAGCCTCACATCTCACCGAGGGCCGAACGGTGACTGCCACTTTGCAAAATCAGCTCGAACTTCCTTTGCCTGTAACTTGGACAAACATTGGATTTTTGAATCTATTTACTACGGGGATTTCTCGAATCGATTCCAATCGGTCATTGTGTCAATGGCCGATTGTGTCGTCTCAACATTTTATCTAATCTAGTTTTGACGACACTGAGAAGTTTAACTTCTCTTTATATTTACCTCCAAATTCTCCAGGCGTGTTTTGAGTGATTGTAAAGTTTGTCCAAGTTGATTTAATGTATCCGCTTGAGCTACAGAGAGATCTCCCATGGGATATCTACCCTTTCCTGACTGCTTACTGCGGAATGCCTTTCCGGGCAGTTCACTCACCGAGGGCTCAGACACACTTTGACTTTCGCATCTGCTTAGCTTAGCGGTCAGTTCCCTGATGGTCTCCTTCTGATTCATAATCGTCTCCTTCTGTTGCAGTATGGTCTCCCGGAGCTGAAGAATAGTCCCTTTGATATCCTCGACCGGACCACTGTTCTGCATGGGGGCAGAGCACATGGGGTCCATGTCCAAAGGGATGGAGGTGCAGATGAACCGCGTCTGGGCGAAATCTTGGGCCGCTGCTCTCGCCACTAGGAAGGAGAGGGCGAAAAACCCGCCGAAAGCTGCGCGGGACATGGTTTCGAAGAGACAGTTGCAGAAGCGGATTCAGCACCACGGAGCTGTCCAGGTTGACTGAAGATCTGCACAGCGCGCAGGCGCCTTTTATACCCACTCACATGGCCACGTCAGGAAGGGGTGGAATCCCAGTTTAATTGCTTCGTTTCTTGCCTTGTGACCATGTCAAATCGAGCTGACATTTAACATCTCTTCATGTTGCTTGGATCGCAGTGAGCAGGAAGAGAAAGTGTGTGTTTGTGTGTGTGTGTATAAGGGGTAGCTCTGCATGCAAGTCTTCAGGGGAACAAACGCTGCAATCCCCGGAGCACTTTGAAGTGAAGCTGTTTAAATATTTTATACACTGGCTGCCTTCACTTGGCGGTGGGCTTCGAAGGTTTTCCACATTTAAGTCAAGATTACAGTTTTACGTCAACGTTGAATACTTAAGGAGGAAGCTGTTGCATTTTTTAAGATCCCCACATATTGATGTTACCGTTCCATTAGCAGCCCTGGCCAGCTAGGGTAGCGGCAGACTGAAGGGCTATCGGTAATCGCTTTTAAAAATTGTCCACAACAAACTCTGCTATCGTTGTGCTTACATTAGAGGATAGCTTTTAGATAGCTCTCATCTGCTACTTTATCCGATATTCCTCTCCCCTTTCCCGCTCAAAGGAGCAGCATCGATTTGAAGATCACTCGAGTCATGGCTTAAAAAAATAATTCCGACATCAAATCTAAACAAAACAGATACATTGAATAAAGGGCTGATTTGGAAAAAGCTGCAACCTTTCAATAAAAAGAAAGTGTACATAGAAAACATTGAATTTCGTTAACTATTCATTGTGGCTTAGTAATAAATGTCTGAAAACATTAAGCCATCCAAACATCAAATGTTCAACAGTTTAAATTATGTATACTAAAGTGGCTGAATGTGTGTGTGATCACTTCATTCCATTCATGTCTCTATATACAGCCACCCCTAGCCCGCAAGTCCAATTACTAGCAAGGATTCCCGCTTCCGCGGGGAAAACACCCCAAGATTTAACACTGTGACTAATGGTTTGAGTTCCTCTGCTATCCATCATTCAGGAATGTAGAGAACTTATGTGTTGTCATTTCCCCTTCTCCTCATGAATATTTATAACAACAGCCACTGTGGGTAGCGGGGCACCCATGCAAAGTCATCACATGTCTTCTGGTGCGGAGCTGACTGTGGTCGTTTCCCGGAATACACACACAATCACATGGACATACAGTACACTCATCCAGTACAGTGCACAGATATACACACAGACACATAGGTACACACTCATCCAGTACAGTGCACAGATATACACACAGACATATAGGTACACACTCATCCAGTACAGTGCACATATATATATACAGACACATAGGTACAGACTCATCTAGTACAGTGCACAGATATACACACAGACACACAGGTACACACTCATCCAGTACATTGCACAGATATACACACAGACACACAAGTACACACTCATCCAGTACAGTGCACAGATATACACACAGACACGTGGGCACACAGTCATCCAGTACAGTATATAGATATACACGCAAGTACACAAACAGAATGCACACGACACTTACACACAGTCAAACACATAGAGGTACATACATAGACAGGTAAAATCACCATAGGGCTGCTCTCTCAGAGACAGTCAATTGGTGGTGAGTTTAACCTCAGGTGAGGGGCAAGGCTGAAAATGGGAGTCCTTCATGGTAAACTCAGCCAGTGTGGGAATTGAACCTAAATTGTTGGCATCATTCTATATTGCAAACCAACCGCCTTAGCTGAACCATTCCACACACCGATACACACACACCATTTTCAATGGCAAACTCTCGTGGCCACTTCAAGATGTGATCACCACTCATCTCAAAGGGACCAATTCAATTAGTTCCACAGATTTATAGTTACCTTTTCCTTTATATGTCTCAGTCCCCCGCTCCCCAAATCCCAAGACTTGAGTAAATAGGAGAGATCTGCTTACGACGTATTAAAATTGAAAAGGAATTTAAATTTTTCAGTCAAATCATGAATGGCTATAAATGGTATATCTTATTTGGATTTCCATGGGTGAGAACATTTTTGTAGAATTGGGCCTAGGCCTGATAAAAACAGGAAGAAGAGGAACTGTTACTGTTCCGGAATATGTGCGCTCGCCAACAAGAGGAGCTAAAATATTACGGCCACTTGCAGCCACTTAACGATTAGGAAGGAAGCAGCTTCCTAATGGACCAGGGCCTGGGCAGACAGCTTTGCCACAGTTAGTGGCAATTGCACAAAAAGGTGAACCAGGTCAATCCCATTGGTACCCCAGTGACAACAGATAAACAGGTGTCAGATCCGAGGCAACTGTCTAAAAGCCTGTTCGCACATTGACCGTGTAAAGAAATACCAATTCCTTTGTTCAGACAACTAATTATTTAAACAAGGAGGGTGACAGACATGTTAATGTAATCTTAAACAAGGATTCAGGTTCCTGCTGAAGAATTGAGACTTTTATCAACATGACCTACTCAGTAGGTTTGACTCATTGACTACTTGTTCATTTGAATCCAGTTTTTTTTTCACCTGGAGATGTCGATAGAGAAAACAAATAGAAAGACCGCGAGTACATCTTGTGGCCAGGTCGAGTCCTATCCAATGCCCTGCTCAACTTCCGATCCTTCAGAGGGTTACTTAACCTGACTCTAATTTTCCACCTTTTTCCCATCCACATCTTGCAATTTCCTTCAATGTTAGTTCCCTGCTCGGATCTAATTCTTCCTTCATTTGGCATTCTACACTCGTCCTTCTATTTTCTTATGCAAAAGTTTCAGTCACCGAGCAGTACAGAAAGTGGGACATCCTCTTGTAAGATGTGACTTGAATTTTATCGAAATGCGATTAATGTTTTTTGAAATGCTTCACTGAATTAATTTAATCACAAACCTACTTATAATGAACTGTGCTTCACTGAGTACTATTATTAATAATAAAATTTCTTCCTCAGCAGCAAACTTTTCCAATAGAGGAGGTGTATTTGCAGAACATTTATGAAAATCGTACAAGTCCTTGAACTCTTGGCTGACCCCAGGTGTGAAGCTTAGACAACACTTAATGACATGGTGTTGAATTGCTCTCTACAATTCATTGCTGAAAAAGGTTTCTCTTTACAGCATCCATGAGGGTGCTCTTTCATTGTGGACTCATGTTGAGTTTGGGTGGGGTGAAGCATGGGTACAGGCCTCAAGGAGGGAGGGAGACAGAAGACCATAACACTGTTCTGTCATTAGAGAGACACTACTGGTGGGAGTTCGATCACAGGGTCACCTTGCCTCAGGCAAGGGGAGAGATCCAAAAGGTGGATCTATCAATCATGGTGACTTCAGCCAGTGGCATCACTCTGCATTACAAACCAGCAGTACAGTCAATTAACCAACAAACCTCACATAAATAGAACACAGATCTCAAGATATCTTCATTGTTTTTATTCCTACTCACTGTGGATGACTGTGTGAGTTTCTGTCAAATGTTCTTTACCAATGTTTTCAACAACTTCTAATAAGGAAGTTAAATGTTGGAGGCTATTGTTAAGAAACCCATTTTAGCTTTGGAACAAGTCTCTGTATGGTTTTAAACATGACTAATCTTGTTCTTTAATGTACTCACACCTGCTTTTTTACTAACAGAAAGAAGCACGTAGAACCATATATGATGAACTATAGTTAAATTGTACATTGAACTCTTACAGCTATAATGTGGAATCATCAAAATATATCCCACCAGAATTCCTCCACAAGCAGATTTCTATTTGAGGAAGGGTCTCGAGTGCTATGGGAAGAAGGTAGTTGATTTGCACAAGATAATTTGCTCCTTCAGAAAGACACAACCTTCTCTGCTGTAACTAACCATTTTGTAAAGTTTCCTGTTTGATCTTCTTCAGTTCAGATGACTTGAGAGAAAAAGATAGAGAGAAAAATGGCAACTTGCTGACTTGTATCTCTAAACATAACCATATGGGTAGTTTCCGAAAAAGAATTTGTGTTTCTTCTGATTTGTTCTGCTCCTACCCTGAAGACAGTGACTCATGCTAGAATATAGTTCCACAGCTGTTCGCAGTTCTCTGATATATCTCCACTGTGGAGGTTGGCAGGCTGTTTAACCGCAGGAGGAGGAATTAAAGCAGAGCCATGTCTTCATTTGTATCCAACACCCACACACATTTTCCAACAGGGATTACCAGATAGAGCTCACATGCTGAAGCCCTGGATGATTTTTTTTCCTTCTTTCAATGCCATGGATGCTGATGTCAGCTGGAGTCATTGCCTAAGATCAAATGACTCAGTGCAGATCAATGATTGAATTCAAAAATGTACACATTTCAACACCACAACACCTGCTTTATTTTATTCATTCATGGGATGTATGCATTAAAATCATTCATTGCCCATTTCTAATCACCCATTTCTAAATGCTCTTGAGAAGATGGCAATCAGTCACTTTCTCGAACAATTGCAGTCCTTATGGTGTGGCTGCATCCTCAGGGCTGTTAGGATGGACTTTCAGGATTTTGACCCAGTGGTAGTAGAGGAATGACAATAATTCCAAGTCAGATGGTCTGTGACTTGGCAAGGAACTTACCACAGTGGTGATCCCTTGCATTTTCTTGTACGTTGTACTTCTAGACAGTGGAGGTTGCAGGTTTAGAAGATGCTGTTGAAGGAATATTAATAAGTTGCTGCAGTGCATCTTGTAGATGGTACAAATCCATGGCCACTTTTTAAGTAGGCTGCTTTGTCTTTGCTGGTGGCAAGCTTCTGCATTCATCCAAGCAAGTGGAGAGTATTCCATCACACTCCTGACTTGTGCCTTGTAGAAGATGGTAAGGTTTTGGGAGTTCAGTATTTATATGGCTGGTCTAGTTGTACTTCTGCTTCACGACAACTGCAGAATGTTGATGATGGGGGAAATTCAGGAATGGTCATACCATTGAATGCCAAGGGTAGGTTAGATTCTCTCTTGTTGGAGATAATCATTCCATGGCACATGTGG